AAATGCACAAAAATATTTATAGCAGCTCCTTTTGTGGTGGCGAAGAATCAGAGCCTATCATTTAGGGAATGACTGAACAAGTTGTGGTATATGATTGTGATGGAATACTATTGTGCTATAAGAAATGATTAAGGGGATGGTTTTAGAAAACACCTGAGAAGACTTATATCAATCAATGTGAATTGAACTGAGCAGAATCAAGAGAACACTGTACACAGTGATACCAATATTATAATGATGATCATCTGTGAAAGACTTAACTATTCTTATCAATACAATGATCCAAGACAATTCTATAGCACTCACAAATTAAAATGCTATCTACATGCACAGAGAGAACTGATTAACTCTGAGTGCAATTTGAAGCATACTTTTTTTCAATTTGTTTTTCTTGTTCTTTTTTTTTGCAACAAGGCTAATATGGAAATATGTTATGCATGACTTCACATGTATAATTGATATTGTATTGCTTGTCTTCTCTCAATGGATAGGGGAGGCGCTGGAGGGAGGGACAGAATTAGGAACTCAAAAAACATTTAAATTGGATGTTAAAATAAATCAAGCATAATTATTTTTTTAAAATTAAAATTAGGAAACTATTGAAAACAAAAACAAATACTGAGCTAAATGGAGAATCGCTGATAAATTACTTGGATCAGATGGACTCAAGGGTAAATTTGTAAGAGTAAATTTGTGGACCAGTTTGACAAAAGTCAGAAATGTAGTAGGATTATATTAAGTTATGATATAACATGGAGCAGCTAGGTGGTACAGTGGATAGATGGGGCTCCAGGTCTTGAGTCAAGAAGATCTGAGTTCAAATCCAGGCTTAGATATGTACTTGCTGTGTGACACTGGACAAGTCACTTAACCCTGTTTGCCTCAGTTTCCTCAACAGTAAAATGTGCTGGAGAAGGAAATAGCAAACCACTCCAGTATCTTTACCAAAAAACTTCAAATGGGGTCATGAAGAGTAGGATATGACTGAAACAACTGAATGACATGATATAACACAGAAGACAATGTATAATTCTGCTTATCATACCTCAGTAAAGATATAATGAAGTAAGGCAGAACTAAGACAGTGGAACAGCAGGAAGAAGTACCCCCCAAGTCCCCCTGAACTACTCAACTTCTCCAAACATATCTAGAAAATGTATTAGCTTAAATCTTGATAGGGAAATTCAAGAAAAATCATACTCATTTTTCTAGTCCAAATTAGTATAGAGAGAAAGAAAAAGAGGTCTGTGGATACTGGAAATACCGGAGGGTCTGGCCAGGAGCATGATGTACAGGGTGAGAAGTGGTCCCATATCCAGAACACAAGGGCTTAAAACTTTAGCACGCAAGGGCTTAAACTTGTATAAGTTGCAGGAACAAGTGACAAATTGCAGCTCAGCTACAGAGTACAGGCTCTAGGCAAAATGAGAAAGGGACCTGCATCTAGAAGTGGAATTCCTGGGTTAGGTACAATTCTGAGCCCAACCCTGTGACTTGAATAATGAGCAAGTGCAGAAGGAAGCAGCAGCTGTGTGGCTTGTATCTCAGGAATGCAGCAGAGTATCAGATCCAGCTTGTAGCACAGTCTGGAGCCTATAAAAGAATAACCAGGGCAAGCATTCCAAATCAAAGGGAAGGATACAGTTCTATTGCTCTGAACCAGCAGAGCTTTCTAGCTGCCTAATAGTGAGGGTTTCCAGCATCTGTCTACTGAAATTCTAATGAGTCTTGTTGCAATGCTCCAGCCTCTCTGAACTACTATAATAGGATGCAATTATAAGGTACCTTACTGTAAAACCTATTTTGATGTTCTTCCTATAACTCTGTTGTTCATAGGGTTAACTCCACAAGGTCTGAAGTGGTTTTTGCCACATGAACTAATTACTGGAAGGCCAATCTGAATAGATTTTGTCAGGTTTTACTAAATTATACTAAGTTTTATCATTAGCAGGTTTTAGTGGCATTACCTAGAGAATCTCCACAAGCGACCCAAAATCTGGAGATGGTCAAGGAAATACCTCCACAAACCTGCCCTGGTAACAGGTAAGACATCATTCAATTTTCAGTCAGCACTCCAAGGCCCATTACCTGCCCCCAATCATATTCAAAGGTACAACATCTACTGGCCAAGACCCTTGGGAGATGTGAATTATATTTGCTTGGACACAACCTATGACTGCTTGGCATAAAGGCACATTCCCCAGGGACTCAACCATGGAATATCACCTTACACATCTGGTTCAACAAGAACCTACTCCAGGACCCTTTGAGCACCTGGTAGACCTGTGCACTTCTTCTACCTACATCTACATCCACACCTGGTCTCCACACCATACCCCTTCGGTAATTTCAACCTGCACACTTGTTACCATGGTTAGCCACACCTTAGACAACTCCACTGAGGCCATGCAACTTGCCCCTCAAGCCCTGGTCCTTGTCTGGGCACCAAAGGGGAGTAGAGACTAGACTAGAATTAGAGCCCTTCTGGGGGCTTAAGTCCTGTGGAAAGGCCAAAAAAGACATGCATCGATGTTTGAGAGATATGCAGGAGGTGCTCACCAGACACTTGAAAGAACAGATCATGAACAAGGCCAAAGGATTTGACACCTTAGCTGAGGTCAGAAACACTTGGGGCCATTGTTATGGACCATTGTTTGGCCCTAGACTATCTGCTTGCAGACCAAGTGGAATTTTGCACCTTTATTAACTCTTCCTATTGCACATAGACAGATCTCTCCCATAAGGTCTATGAACATACAGACTGGATTGAGGATCCTGGCCAACAAGTTCAGTGACTTCATAACTCTGATTCATTCCATCTCCCTTAGCCTATTTGAATGATCTGTTCTCCAGGTGCTTTCCTGGTAACTGGGGAACTTGGACCTTGAGTGCACTTGAGACTGATTCTCTTTATCTTGTGTATCTTGTGCTACTTGTTCTCTAGGACCTTCTAGACCACTAGAGGTCATTAGGTTAGGATGTTAGGTTAAAACCCTCTCCTTTCTTGTTGCTGCCTCTATAAGGCCTGCTTACCACTGCCCCAGTGGATCTTGTTAATGGTCTTAAAGTGATCTCAAAGACCACACTATAAGAGTCTCCCCTTAAGGAAGGTTGTAGCTTACAGAATATAATCATGGAAATATATTGACAATAATATTTTTCAAAGGTTAGTACAGCTGTGTCCTCCAAATAATAATTTTATCTATCACTAGCTTGTTTTTCTCCCTGATAACAAACTTTCAAAATAAAATTTTGCCCTGCCCCCTGATATGCAAATTGGCCAGCTCTAGGAAGGACCACTGAAAATCAAAGTATATGAACCTCACTTGCAGAAGGGCACTTTGGAACACGTCATCCCCTCGAGCAGGAGCATCCTTTCCTTCTGGGGAATCCCCTTCCTAATGAATGGACCCTAACACAGCACCACCCTTATGTGAGTTATACTCTGTATTAGTATATATGCTTGAATTGCATATTGGGTCCCCTTTTCTCTCTCTCCTTCCCCCCTTCCCCATTTCTTACAATAAAGCTTTGCACTGAACTGATTTCCATTGTTTTACATATTATTCTCAGCATTCAAACTCATTAAGGAGTTGTCTCCCCTAATGTATCTAGCTGGTCTGTGGGCCTCTCCTTAGACATAAACTGGGTACCTGGACTAGAGCTTAACCTGTCGGTAGCCACACCTATGCTGGGGGAATATGATACTGCAAGCCCAGCTGTAGAAAGGAAAGGTCAATAGGGTAATTCAGTGTTCTCCCAGAAATGCCTTCTTTATGCCAGAATCACAAAACACAATCTTTAAGCAGAATAAATTGGAAATTATCATTGAAGAAAAGGCACTAGAATTAAGAGGGATTCGGACAGGCTTCCTGTAGAAAGCATGATTTTAGCTGGGATTTGAAGGAAGCCAGGGAAGCCAGTAGGCAGAGATGAGGAGGGACAGCATTCCCTACATGAAAATTCCCAGAGTTAGGAAGGAAATGGAGTATCTTGTTCAAGGAACATCAAGGAAGCCAACGTCATTGGACGGAAAAGACTGGGGGTGACGATTGTGAGGTGTGAGAATACTAGAAAGGTGGAAGAACAGATTATGGAAAGTCTTTGGATGCTGAGCAGAAGACTTTACATTTGAGGCTGGATTTGATGTTGATAAGGGAGCCACTGGAGTTTACTGAGTAGGGAGGTGACATGGTCAAACTTGAATTTTAGGAAGATCACTTTGACTGCTAAGCAGAAGGTGGAATGGAGTGGAGAGAGACTGTGGTCGACAGAGACCTACCAATAATCTATCCCAATAGTCCAGGCATGAAGTGATGAGGGCCTGTACCAGGGTGGTGGCAATGTCAAAGGAGAGAAGGGAATTTATATGAGAGATATTATAAAAGTAAGCTTTTGGCAACTGATTGGATATAAGGGGTGAGAGATAGTGAGGATTTGAGGATGATACATAGGTTCTGATCCCCTCAACCAACGGCCAAGTTTTTCTTTCAAAATCAAATAGGAAGCAAGGTAAATATAAAGGGAAGACAGTGGGGTAGAAACCCTATAGCATATTATCTATATCCACATTCACGGACCTGTAAGCTACTTTTCTCCACCCTCTCCTTCCCTCCCCTCATCCCAGCACCTACATAAACCAGTAGGACAGGAAAATATGTGCAAAAAACACAGAAAAAAATGTGATCACATACAATCAATCACATACAAACACATCTGATAATTGGGTGTTGCCAATCATTTTGAAATGTCAGGCCTTTGACGCTTGACCACAAAATAAAAAGAGGTTGGTGACTTTGGGAGGCAATCAGAGAAAAAAAGCTGCTCTTAAGTGGCTTTACACATCTAAGAATCATAACAGGTTAAAAGACTATAGTGCCTATCATTTTATGCCCCAGCCCAGGATGAACACATGACAAACACCATTTAAGTATCCTTAAATTTAAGCACAATCATCTGCTAGTGCACAAACCAGACACCAAAAACTGTCCCCTTTATACCTTGTTCGTGAAGAATCCATGTCCAGCACTAACTTTGCTAAATGCTTCCTCTGCTTTTGAATATTTGGAATTTCTACCTGCAATAATAAGAAAAAATAGTGTTGGTTTTCATTTACTGTTTTTCTTTTTTACACCAGCGGATTCAATGGAGGTTGGGTAAGGTTTGGAGCATATTGGGAAATAGCTGTGATGTAATCCAATGTATGTGAATCTGTGAGGATAATCACTATAGGTTTGCTAAAGGAACTTCGCTGGCTTACCAGAACAAAATTCCATATAGATCCTTTTATTCAGTTAGGCCCATTTTGTCTTTTCTGACTGCAATTTCACAGTGCAACCTTGCCCCATTCAGAGGAAAAGAGAGGATGAGGTAGTGGGCAGACCCAAAATGGAGGCATAATTCAAAATGAATCACTGAGAAGAGAATAAGTTTCAGGCAGGTTTGCATTAAACATGATGAAGATCCATTCATTTTACTGAAAATAGTTTTTTAAAATAAAATGTACATTTCTCTACAGAATGGACACTTTTTATGCTTAAAAAACTAATAAAGTTATTCTTTTTTGTAGTATGGGACTTTTAATTTTTTTCCTTCTAGAGAAACTCTGAAATTATCATTTTTATGCAAGTCATTCTTGTTTGTTATGTAGGGATTTTTATTCAATTTTTTTAAACTTTTAGAACAATTTAAAAATGATCATTCTTCAATAGGATTTTGTTTCCAAGCCTAGCAGACATGGAATAGGGAGTGAGAATCAGAAAGCAAAATAAACTTAATAAATAGAAGTAAATCACCATTCATATAAAGAAATAATATGAATAAATTTCAGCATTAAAAAATTTAACACCAACCCTAAGGAAACTATTTCCATTTCACAATAGCCAAGGTTGTGATGAGTGACTTACACTCATCTATAGTAGAAAAGCAATGGAAGCATTACAATTAGAGATGGATAATCCAATATAAGCAAAAGCCCAAAGAGTCAAGAAACCAAAGAAGCAAGAAAAGAATGGACCATATATTTATCTTTTCAAAAATATCTAAAACAATGTTAGAATTCCACTAAATGCAAAGGATGCATTATCAGGCATGACCTGACATCAAGAATAAGGCATTGGCAATGTACTTTGGTTCACTTAGTACTATGATCTAAGACCAAATATCCTTTTAGCTATCCAAAAAGCAAATGCTATTTAATCTCTGAGTGAGGATTTACAAATCACCAAGTTGTACAGAGAGGCTGAAGGTGGAGTGGGGAGAAAGGAGGGGTTATACAGAGAGGAAGAAACCATGATTTATTTTTAAGGGCCTGATTATTTTTAATTATTTTTATTTAGATTAATTTATTTTTAATTTAAATTAATTATTTTTAAGGTCATGATTTTTTAAAGTCTCTTTTCCCCCTCTCCTCTCTCCTTTCTCTTCCTCTCCCTTTTCCTTTCCTTTCCTCTTTCCTTCCTTTCCCTTGTCTTTCCTTTCCTTTTCATTTCCTTTTTCCTTTTCTCTCCCCTCTTTCCCTTTCACTTTCTTACCTTCTCCTTCCCTTTCCTTTCTTTCCATTCTTCCCTACCTTTCCCTTCTTACAAGGTAGTGGTAGTTGGGGCATAGGAAATAGAGAAGATTTATACTGATAGTAAGGTCCCCAAGTGGGAGAGTTACAGCTTTAGCAAACTGAAAGGAAGAAGACATAATACTGACAAAAAATTTATATATCTATCAAGTAAGGCTTCAAAGCTTTTATTTAGCGGACACTGATCTACTTGTTGATCAACAGATCATCATTTCATATTCTAAAGTTTGGCAAGTCATCCTTATATTTTGAATTGTTCTTTGTTTTAAAAGCTATTAAAGACTGTACTGCCCTCTGCCTGAAGTGGCATCTAGAATCCATTCTAAAGAAGTTCTATGCCAGTCAAACCATTAAATCAGTTTAAAAAACATGTATTAAGTCTGTGCTGATGCTGGGGAAGATCCAAAGTTCAGATAGTTCCTGCCCTCATGGAGCTCCCAGGCTAATAACTGTAATCTTTTATATTTACTTGGTAATTCAAATGGTCTTGTAGACATAAGAATTGGAACTCTAAGCCAACCCCCAAGTCTAACCTGGAGTCATCTTTTCCTTGTGGTAGAATCCAGATGCCCCTTTTAATTCTCAAAGGTGCCAGCATGTTCCTCAGTGTTGCTGTCAACATGAGTACATTGCCAATAGATTTCCATATATAGTAACATGTTCCAATAAGTGAACATCCTAATGGCACACCTCCTTCTGCTATGCCTTTGTGACTACCACACAGTGAGTGACTGATTACCCTCCCATAGGGAGGAGTGAAAGCTGCTTGACTCCTACCAGGACTGCATCATATATGTAATGATCATGTACATAAATTTTATGTGTCAAATAATTTCCATTTTATATATCAGGTAAACATTTGTAAGAGTTATATTTACACAAATGAAATTATTACAATAGGTACTAATTTTCCTTCATGTTTCATTGCCTGAATAAAAACGGTTTATCACTATTTTGAAAAAATATATTTTGGTATGGTAAATCAGAGATGAAAAATATATTCATTTTCCTGTAGTACTGATGTCAGGAGGCAAGCTATAAAGATAGAAAGGGAAGGGAAGATACTTCTGAAGCAGAGGGCCTCAGATGCAAGCCTATTTCACTCCCACTCATATGTATTGTATTCATTCACTCCCTATTCCTTACCTCTGCCAGCACAAACAGTGGCTCAATCACATCTCTCTCTACTTGTAATTCAAAATGGATAAGCTCCTGGGCTAGTTTGTCCTCTGTTTCACCACATAATTTCAGCATCTTCCTGCAAAAAAACCACAACCAAAACCAAAATAACAGAACAATTAAAGAGTCAATAGAAAGGGACAGAACTCCAGAATACTCATTACCTTGGCTGCATAAATCTTCATTGGAATATATAACCAAAAAACTGCTTGCTTTTTTCTGTAGATCACACTTCCAAATTCACTCTTTCCCTTTTACTTCTAGAATCAAAGCAAATCAACCCATATTGGGGGTGGGGCAGAATAAGGCCTACTATGTGATTGGAATTAAGGAGGTAGAGACAGATGCCCTCACATCTTCTGAGTACACACGCTCCAAACAGCCACATTCCTCTTTTTGTCTATATACAAAAGAGGAGAGCTCTCTAGACATGACCTCTTCCACATCAAGTTCTAGAACAAAAAATCTTTTTGTTGAGGCTAAAAAAACCAAGTAGAACAGGGCCAACAGGTAAGATACATGATGGCCTGGGTCCAACACTTTGTTAGCCGTATAACCATGAGCAGCTCAAGCACTCAGCTTCAGTGTCCATTTCTGTGCAGTTGGGATACTCATTTTATTTATGGGATTTTGAGGTATATACCTTTATGGGGTTGTGAGAAAAATACTCTATAAATTTTAAAGTTTTTTTTAGAAATGTGAATTAATATTTTGAAATGGTAAATGCACTTGAAAACAGTTCTCCAAATCGGATTTATTTTATTCTATTTTACCAATTCCAGTGATTTCTAAGGGAAAGAGTAGATCTCCAAAGAAGATTTCAGACCTTCACTAAGTAAGCTATAGAGGTGATACATAATTAGTAGTCAAAAAAGATTTAAAAATTTATATTTAATGCAAATCTCCCTTGCTGCTTCAATATGTAATTGTAAATAAACTACTACTTTTAGAGACAGGTTTTGCTTCATTCAACTTTAAAAAATTCACAAGATGTAAAGTTAAAAGGAACATATGATTATAAAATATATAGAGACCTTAAAATTGAGGCTTATATAATCTTTTAAAGTTCAACCATATCATAAATTCTTCTACATTAGAAACTACATGTGCTTGAATGACTAACTACCCTTTTTTGTACCTAAGGTTTATCTGTATATATTAAGAGTTGGTTAAATAGCATAATGGAACCCATTATCTGGACTGGCATTAGTCAAATCATTTCTTCCCCCTCCACCTCCCCAACCCCCATCCTGGTGAATTTAAGCTTTATAAGCACAGGGGCTTTTTCTTTTGTCTTTATATTCCCCAGCACCTTAAAAATAGCAGTCACTGAATAATTGCTTGTTGAATTGCATGGCCTATAGAAAGTGCTTGTTTGCCAGGTAATAAACAGCCTTTTCCTCAGTCCAGTCTTCAAATGGGCAACATTCATTTTAGTTACCTCCTTCCCTCACTAGTATTCTCAAGTCTTACTTCTGAGAGAGCTACTCAAGGCATTTGGTATGGTATGGTTGAGTTCAAGGACATGAAAAGTACCATTGCTAGAACATGCTTAATACAGTTTTAGGACCTCTCTATTGACTTGGCATGGACTTGAGTAGAATGTCACCTTACCCAAGGAGAGTTTCATCCCCCAAGATGGCTGATCCTTCCATTAAACACTGAGCCAGTGCTGTCAAAGGTAACTTTTTCTGAAAAATAAACCAAAGTTTGGTAGGAGAAATGTTCCCAAAGTTGTAATTGATAGAGCAAAACAGCAAGATCTCAAAAACCACCTAGAAGTTTATATTATTGATGGCATACTGAAACAAGAAATTAAATGTGCAAAAATCATCATTAAAAAGATGTTGTATTGGGTCAGAAAATTAAAGCAGTTATATCACTACTCTGTCCCCTCCTCTAGAAAACCCAAAGTAAACCAATCACTCTGAAATATACATAAAGGTAAATGTTGTATTTCAGAGGAAAAAGCAGAGAAAAAGAGTGTGTATATAAAAAAGACAAGAAAACTAAAGGTGATAGGGATGTACATGGGGAAAAGGCACAATTTTGAAGAACAAATATATAAATTACCCCTCCTGTACCTTAGGTAAGTACCATTGAGTGCTCTTATAAAAAATGGGTTGATGAAAAAGCCAAGATTTGAGAAGGAACTGTTTTGCAACTCCAGATTTTCCTTTATTCCTAGGAAAATGTTTGTGGAGTAGGAAAAGCTATAAAAAGAGGTTACCAACTACCTTGAGTATTCTCCATTGATAGGTCAACTGCGATAATACAGCAAGCATCTGTTGTCAAAAGGTAGCTATTTAATGAAGTAGATAGAAAGTAGGCCGGTATCAGAAATGCCTTAATCTCAGACACATATTAGCTGTGCGATGCTAGGCACCTCACACAACCTCTGTCTGCCTCAATTTCCTCACTGAAAATGAGGATGATAACAAGATTTATCTCAGATGGTTGTTATGAAGGTCAAATAAGATAATATTGTAAAGTACTTTACAGAATACCTTAATACATAGTAGGCACTTCTTACCTTCCCCTCCTTCACCTGAGCTCTTTCCTATGAATCAGCTTTGGGAAAGTAGCACTCTTCCTGTACAGTTCCTTCTACTTATTTACTGACTAGACATTGGTACACAACAAGTAACAATCACTACTTTTTTATACTCACAAAGATAAGGGAACCAATTATACATCGATAGGCAATTATTGGTCCTTTGAAATCATGACATCGTCATTCTTATAGTTTTCAAAGCTGCTTGTTTTTATAGTGTCACTGTTATTGTATAAATTATTTACCTGGTTCTGCTCATTTGATTCATCAGTTTATAAAATTATTCAAAATTGTTCAGTTTTATAATACTGACATTATAGTATAAATTATTCTTATAGTTCAGCTTAATTTACTCTGTATCAGTTCACATGTCTATCTATGTCCTTTTGCAATAATCTATTTCCTCACTTCTTACAGCACAATAATATTCTACCATATTAATATACCACAGCTTATTCCTCAATTGATGTGCATCCCTTTAGGTTTCAACTTTCTGTCACCTCAAATAGAGTGATTATAAATATTTTTGCATATATATAGGCTTTTCTTCTTTCTTCACTCTGATGTTGAACCATTTGACAGTTTCATGGTCTGTGGTGGCAAGAACTTTCTTTCCCAGGCCTCAGCAGTGACGGCTACTGAGGAAGCAAGGTCTGTAGCATTTGCAGAGCAGATAACACATAGTCAGGTGTTTTCTTTTCAGATGATGGTTGGCAGCAAGACTAGTGGTTTGGGGAACACTGTTATTCCAGGGTTACCTGCCTATTGGTGGCAGTTGATCAGTAGTTGGGGCTGGCAATGGCAGAGATGTTGTTTGCTAGTATCTCCCATTCCATGAAAGTTACTGACCCTGATGATAGCTGTAGGAACCAAGCTAGAAACAGGAGTGGTAGTCTAAGAAGCAGTAAAATTCCTGGAGCTCTTAGACCCTGGATCCAAGAGGAGGTAGTAGTGGAGATGACAGTGATGCTGGTTTGACCTACCTCTTGTCTCTCCTTTAAGACTTCTTGTTGCAAATGAAAACTGTGTCTCAAATTCAATGGGTATAAAAGAAAAAACCAACTTATTCTTGGAAAATAGGTCACTTAATAATCATTTGTCAGCACTCTCTTTTTCTTATTATCTACTTGTCCCTTCCTTTCCATTCTTTTTCTCTCCCTCTTTCTCTCCCTCTCTCCCTTATATGAAATTGAAGCATGTTGTTTGAACACTAGATACATCTGCTAAATGAAGTTTTGTTTTCTTGGTTCTTAGTTTAAGAATCAAACAGGTTTAATGTTTACTATTTCTCTTTTTAAAAAATACCCTTAAATTTTGTTATTCTTGCTTTCTCAATGGGAGTGGGAGGTAGGAATAAGAAAAACAATTATTTTTTGGAAAAATAACAAAATTTAACTTAAAAAACAAGTCTGGAAAGGTAGGTTGCAACTAGTTACTGAACAGCTGAGCAGTTTGTGTTTTATTCCTGTATTGTAGATATGCATTTTATTGTATTTATGGTAATAAGGAGACACCGAAGTTTAGTTAACTAGTTAATCTTGTGCTTGTTTTCTCTTTACTAATTCTTTTACCAAACCTAATTTGCTAAAACATATAAATTTTCATCAGGTTGGAGGTTGTAGGATTATGAATGACAGTGTTAAAATTATGTTTGGTAATTTTTTTTCTTAAAATTTGTGAAAACTCTTCAAAAGGTTTTAAAAAATAATCCTCAGGGGCAGCAAGGTTGGCACAGTGGATAGAGCACCAGCCCTGAAGTCAGGAGGACCTGAGTTCAAATGCGGCCTCAGTCCAAACACTTGACACTCACTAGCTGTGTGACCCTGGGCATGTCACTTAACCCAATTGCCTAAAAGAAAGAAAAAATAATAATCCTAAAACTAAAGAAGTCTTTTATCAACATTTCCATGTAGTTCAAAATAAGTTTTTTATCTCTTGACAAGTAACTTTTATTTTAGAATTTTTATTTTCAGTTCCAAATTTGCTTTCTCCCTCCAGTCTCTCCCCACTCAATCAAGAAGGCAAGAAATATGATTCCCATCACACATACAAAACATTTTCACATTTGCTATGTTGTGAAAAAAAATCAAGAAAAATAAATTGAAAGATAATGTGCTTCAACCTGAATTCAAAGTTCATCAGTTTTCTCTCTGATGATCGATAGCATTTTTCTCATGAGTTCTTTAGAACTGTCATGGATCATTGTATTGATCAGAGTATCTAAGTCTTTCTCAGTTGATTGTCCTGTTCTCAGCTGATAGCTTTAGTCATGACATAGACATATAGCAAAATGCTAAAATAAATAATACTTAATGGACCCAGTAGACTCAATCACTGAAGAAACTATACAGATTTTCCTAAATAAAAAAAGATTCCCTCCATATCTATATAAATGTACTTGAGTGAGCTCTCACTCTATGGATACCACTGATTGGGTAGATGTCTACCCAGTGTAATAAATTTATAAATATAAATGTAAGATTTGCAAAGAAAATCTTGGGGCAGGTAGGTGGCACAGTAGATAGAATGCCAGGCCTGGAGTGAGGAAGACCCATCAGTTCAAATCTGATTTCAGATACTTAGTAGCTGTGTGACCTTGGACAAGTCACTTAACCCTTTTTGCCTCAGTTTCCTCATCTGTAAAATGAACTGGAGAAGGAAATGGCAAACCATTCCAGTATTTCTGCCAAGAAAATCCCAAATGGGGTCACAAAGAGTCAGACATAACTGAAAAACAGCTGAACAACAATAAAGGAAAATTCAAGATTTTAAGTTGACCACACTATAGGAAAATAACACCAGCATTAATCTACTTACCGATAATCTAAATTGACTGTAGCCTAGCATGATGACATTCAACTATTTCTCTCAATATTAACATACACTTCACTTTAGGTGTTATGACTGAGACAGCAGTATGATAGTTAACAACTACTAAAGATACAGCCTTGCAAATGATACGTGGTCATACTTCTTTAAACAGGTGACACTATTGTTGTTATTGTTAACTCTTCTGTCATTACCTTTGTCGAGGTAAAGAGCCAAGTGGTTACTTGTAAGGGAAGGGGAAGGTAGAAAATTCACATGGGATGTGGACAGAATGACAATCCTACAAAAAAAGGGTAAACTTAGATTTTATAAGAGATATATTTATTTGGTTCTAAAAACATGAGCCTAATAATCTTCATTTACTGACACAGTTTTAGTAGCTAAACTTCAACTTATTCTTGGAAATAGGTCACTTACTGATCGTTTATCAGCTTCTACTCCTTGTTGTCCTTGGAGACATGCAGTCAGCTTCTTGTGAGTGCTATGTGATACTTGTTTCACCAGCTCCAAGCGCTTCTCCACCTATAGGCAAAAAAAAAAAAAAATTTAATAGGGTAGCATCAAGTGGGTGAAGTTGGTGAGGTTAAATGTCAGTAGTCAAATTTTCCTAGTCAGGGATCTTCTTGGCTCTTATCTCTCCAGAGTAAAGTATCTACTGAGTCAAACAGAGGAAACACTTAAAACTTAACTCTAGCTTCAGGTTTTATCACCATTACAACTTACTTCCCAACCACTTCTCCTTTAAAATAAATTTTATTGATGCCTTTTTATTTTGATATCACAATCATTTCCTGATATAAAGCGTACCTCCTACCTATATCTCCCAAACTGAGTCCTCCCTTATAAGGAAGAAAAATAGTTAAGTAAAAACACTGCATATAGTCACCATATCTGATCTCATATATAACATGCTACTCTGGTAGCCCCCTCACCTTTTTGTATGATTTATCCCTTATTCTAAAACTACTTTAAATATTCATTTAAAAATTATTTTTAAATAAAAGGAAGAGCAAGGTAAAAAAACAATGAACTGGGAGTCAAATATGAGATAAGGACCAATTGCCTACTACTTATTAGCTATGTTGCAAGTTACTCAGTTTATTAAATGCCAACTATGTGCAAGATATTAGACTAGGTACTAAAAGATAAATAAATATCATCCTTGGCCTCACTGAGCTCACAGTCTAATAGGTAGGATATACAAATGTTTACAATACAAAAATGGAATATTTTAAGTATATAAAACATGTACAGAGTATTATACAAGAAAGAAAAAAGTCATTATTGAGAGAATCAATCAAACAAGGATTTGTCAAGGATCTACTATGTGTCCAATCACTTTGCCAGGTTCTAGAGATAAAAAGATAAAACTGAAACTACCTTCAAGTAACTCCCATCCTTTTTGGGTTGGAGGGAAATTCATATGTATTTATATATGCATTTCAAATATATACAAAATAAATACAAGATGACTGGGTCCAGGAGTGCTACCTGTTGAAGGCTACGTGATTAGTAGCGCTTAAGCCGAGCTCTGAAATAAACTGAAGAAGGGTAGAAAGGAATCTGATTGTGATCATCTTTAAATGCCAAGCAAAAGACTTTATATCTGATCCTGGGGGTAACAGGGAACCCTATGGAGCTTTTTGAAAAGGGTAGAGTTGAGTGATATGACCATATCTATACTTTAGGAAAATCAATTTGGCAGCTGAGTGTCAAGATAGTTAATCTGAAGACTATTGCTATAGTCTAGGCGATGAGGACCTGAACTAGGATAGTGACTGTGTGAATATAGAGAAGGTGACTTAAAAGAGAGATGTGAAACAGAAAGAAAAGCCCAGATTTGGCAATGGATTAGCCAAGAGAATAGTCAAGGATAACAATGAAGTTATGAGCCTAGGTGACTGAAAAGATGCCACTGATATCAATTGCCATTGATAGAAATTCGGAAAGGAAGAAGAAAACAGAATTTTGGGGGGAAATAATGCCAGTGCCTTTCATATGAGATTATCTACAATTTATCTTATATGTATCTTGTTTGTACATAGTTTGCAAGTTGTGTTTCCCCCACCTCCTATCACAATTAGACTGCGAGCTTCTTCTGTTTTTACCTTTGTATCCCCACTGCTTAGCACAAGGCCTAGAACAGAGGTGGGTAACCTGCGGCCTACTGGGTGCTAATAAATGCTTGTTGACTTGACCCGGATAAAGATCCAGGAAACAAGATAAGGAAGAAGCAACTACCAGGTAGGAACATAATAATAAAAATGCAAAAAGAAGAGAGTATCCAGGAAGAGAAAGTTATCAATAGTGTCAAATGCCACACAGAAGTCAAAAAAGATAAGGATTGAGAAGAGGCTATAAGACTGGGCAATTAAGAGATCACTGATAACTTCAGAGAGAGTAATTTCAGAGAAATGATGAATTTGTAAGCCAGACTGCACAGAACTTATAAGACAGCGAGAGAAGAGAGGAAGTAGAAGCACTGACTGGGAATGGTTTTCTCAAGGAGTGACTGAGAAGGGAAGGAAAGATGTAAGACATGCTGGCCTGCATGGTAGGATCTAGTAAAGGCTTTTTAAAGGGTGAGGGAGGCATAGGGATTTTTGTAACCAGTAGGGAAGGAGCCAATAGCCACCAGTGTGTGGACTAGTTTGTCTGAGACATCCTGCCCAGTCAGTTGTCAGCTAGCACAATATGGTTCAGCGTTGCAGCATTGGTATCTGTTCAACACAGAAGAAGCTATGTTCATCAAGGAACTTTTGTTGACATTTCTAAAGACAGAAAGATAAGACTGAAGTTTATGGTTTCAGAGTTGTGAGATTCCCAGAATACATTGTTCTTCTCTCACTCATATGTCCTTAGAAGATTTCTGTATTTTCATATTCTCTCAACGCACCCCTAACTGAATGCATTGGTGGGAAATTGTGACTCAGGTTTATATTTGGATTTTGAATCATTTATTAATCCTGTATTTGCTGTAGTATGAGTATCTATGATGTTATTTCTTTTTCTATATTGCTAAGTAAATGGCTATGTTAAAGATTTTAAAATGTCATCAAGTGAGTGGTTGGTTTGTGAATAGAAGTATATTAGTGGGTTACTGAAAGCTGGAATTTTGAGCAGAGGGAGTGAATTTCTCCACAAGAGAGTAGCATCGAAGACCCTGAGAGAATCAAGATTCTCTCATGGTGGTGGTCTTATTCTGGGACATGCCAGTATGAGGCCTGGTTGAGGTGAATGGGCCAGCTCAGAAAGTGATCTCTAAACACCCTCTGTGACAGATTTGGGCATTACACTGTGGATGAACACTCCATATACTCACTTAAGAAAAAAAAACTCTCTTAAAAGAACTATCCAAAGAGGCAACGGGACACTTTGAAATGTAGTACAAATGTCCCTAACTAGAAGTCTTCAAGTACAGTCTGGATGACCACTTTAGGGAGATGTTGTAGAATGGATTTTTGTTCAGGTATGGGTTGTCTTTTGCAACCAACTTAACAACCATCTCCAAGTCTGTGATCTTTAAGGTCCCTTCAAGCTTTAAGTCTTATGATATTATGATTTCAAGCACAAAAATAACATGCTCAAGTCACTAGATCCCACAGATAGATCATTTATAAAGGCCACAGATACATTTATAAAATGAAGATAATAATACTCTATGCATCTGAAGGCAGAATACTGGACCAGATGATCTTAAAGTTTCCTCTAGCTTTAAGGTCTATGTAACCAAGTAATTCAGAGATAATGATAATAATCATTAACCTTATATAATATTTCTATGAGAAATATTTGAGGAGTTCAATGGTGAGGGGGAAGGACGGAGATGTTGAATAATGTTGAACTAAGGTAATTAACCAAAGAACTCCCTTACCTGAAGAAGGTCTTCATTTAGAACTTCAGTCTTTTCTGCCCTAGAGAGAGAGAGAGGGAGAGAGAGAAAAAGAGAGAGAGAGAGAGAGAGAGAGAGAGAGAGAGAGAGAGAGAGAGAGAGAGAAAAGTATCAGTTGAGAAATCAAAACCATATCAATCGCATTCCCCAGATTAGAAATAAAGAAACAGCAGCTATGAGAAGAAATTTCTGACTTTAATAGAACAAAGCAGATAAGCAATACTCTAACTTCAAGACTACAGAGCCCCTTCCAGCTGAACATTAATTATTCAAAATTGTTGGACAGAGAATTCCCACACTGGAAAATCTCACAGAAGATGCTTGCTAGGCATCTGAATATTCAAAGAGCATAAAGTCAAGGACTAACCAACTGCAGTGACAACAAAGGAAGAAAATGCAGTTTATTTCATATCAAAGACATGTGATTCCATTAGTGTTGGAACTTCTTCCACAAAGACTAAAATTCATCTTTACAGGCTTTGAAGATTGGCTAAGGCTCAGAAAGAACAAGTGACTTGTCTACTGTCAGACTACTAGTAAGTATTGGGGTAGAATTTTCTCTAAAGATTTCTGACTCTAATTCACATAACTATCAAGTGCAACACACCATCTTTCTTTTTGAAATCTAGTTATACTGTTTTAAAATATATTTCTTTTCTTCTTTATTTTTAATAGTACTTTATTTTTCCAATTATGTGTAAAGTTAAAATTAACATTCATTTCTTATCAAAATTTGAGTTCCAAATTTTCTCCCTCCCCTCCTACTTCCCTAAGACAGTAAGCAATTTGATATAGGTTATATATGTGCAATCATGTAAAACACATTTCCATATTAGTCATGTTGTAAAAGAAGACACAGAACAAAAGAAAAAAAAACATGAAAAAATCAAGTGAAAATAGTATGCATTGATACGCACTCAGATTCCAATCAGTTCTTTCTCCGGATGTGTATAGAATTTTCCATGAGTCTTTTGGAATTGTCTTGGATCATTGTATTGCTGAGAAGAGCTGAGCCAATTATAGTTGATCATCGCATAATGATGCTGTTACTGTGTACAATGTTCTCCTCATTCTGCTCATTTCACTCTGTATCTATCCATGTAAATTTTTCCAGGTTTTTCTGAAATCTGCCTGCTTGTCATTTCTTATAGCACAACAGCAGTCCATTACATTCATATACCAATAACTTGTTCAGCCATTCCCCAATTGATGGGCATCCCTTCAATTTCCAATTCTTTGCCACCAAAAAAAGAGCTGCTTTAAAGGTGTTTGTACATGTAGGTCCATTTCCCTTTTTAATGATTTCTTCAGGATACTGGCCTAGTATGCACAGTTTGACTCCTGTTTGGGTATAGTTCCAAATCGCTCTCCAACATGGCTGGATCAGTTCACAACTCCACCAACAGTGCATTAGTGTCCCAATTTTCCCATCCTCTCCAACATTTATAAATTTCCTTTTCTGTCATATTAGCCAAACTGATACATGTGAAGTGGAACTTCAGAGCTGTTTTAATTTGCATTTCTCTAATCAATAGTAATTTAGAGCATTTTTTTCATGACTATAGATAGCTTTGATTTTTTTTCATCTGAAAACTGCATGTTCACATCCTTTGTCCATTTATCAACTGGGGAATGATTTGTATCCTTATAAATTTGACTTAGTTTTTTATATTTTTAGGAATAAGGCCTTTATCAGACACACTTGATATAAAAATTGTTTCCCAGCTTTCTTATTTTTAATATTTTTTTTTATTTTGAGTTCCAAATATCTCTGTCCATCCAGTCCCTCCCCAACCTTCTGAGAAGGCAAGAAATGATACCAATTATACAGATGACATCGCACAAAACAATATTAGCCATATTGCCCAAAAGAAAAAGCAAGAAAAATTTAAAAAGTGAAAAAATATGCCTCTATCTGTACTCACCACCAGCTTTTTCTCTAGAGGATAGTATTTTTCATTGTAAGAATTTTGGAATTATCTTTGATCACTGTATTGATCACAGTACTAAGTCTTTCACAGTTGATCTTCACTACAATATTGCTGTTATTATGTAAAGTGTTCTTCTGGTTATGCTCACTTCACTTTGCATCAGTTCATATAAATCTTCCCAGGTTTTTCTAAAAGTATCCTCCTCAGCATTTCTTATAGTACAATAATATTCTATTACAATCATATACCATGACTTGTTCAGTCATTCCCCACTTGATGGGCATCCCCTCAATTTCCAATTCTTTGCCACAACAAAAAGAGTTGCTATAAATATTTCTGTATGTACAAATATTTTTCCTATTTATTTGATTTATTTGGGATATAGACCTAGTAGTGGTATTACTGGGTCAGTTCCTTTCTATTCCAATTTAATTTTCTCCAGAGCTCCATCATATCTAATTTTTCTAAATTCTATTAATCTCATTGATATATTTATTTTATGGATAGATTTATCTAGTTTTGAGAGGGGGTAAATGAGGGCCCCCCTCCCATAGCATATTTTGCTTGTTCATTCCTTCCTGTTAATTCATTTAACTTTTTCTTTTAGTGTTGGATGCTATGGCATTTGGTGCATATATTTTAATAATGATGGTACTTCATTGTCTATGGTGCCTTTTAATGAAATGTAATTTCCTTGATTATCTAATTTAATTAGGTCTATTTTTGTTTTTGCTTCATCCAAGATCATGATTGCTAGTTCTAATTTTTTTTAACCTCAGCTGAAGTATAATAGATTCTGCTTCAACCATCATTTTAATTATATGTATGATCTTCTATTTCAAGGTTATTTCCTATAAACAATATATTGTTGGATTCCGGTTTCTACTCTATTCTATACTCTATCCACTTCTGTTTTATGTGTGAGTTCACACCATTCAGATTCACAGTTATGATTATTAATTGTGTGTTTCTGTCTATCCTACTTTCTTCTGTTTATCTTTCTCTCTCTTTTCACCCCGTTTCTCCTCAAAAATCCGTTTTGCTTCTGAACACTGCCTCCCTTAGCCTACCCTCCCTCTTATCATCCTATCTTTTTAACTTATCCTCTTCCTTTTACTTCCCTTTTGGGTAGGAGAGATTTTTACCAACACACACACACATATTCATCTTTATTTGAATCCATTCCAATGAGAGTAAAATTCCCTCTCACTTTCCCCTCCACTGTGAAAGTTCTTCCTTGAATGCCTTTTTCATGTGAGATAATTATCCCTATTTTTCTTCTTTCTGTGCATCCCTTTTTCTCACACCTTCAGTTTCTTCTGAGATCATCCCAACAAAATTGACTCATACCTATGCCCTCCGTCTACATATACTCCTTCTAATTGCTTTTATGATGATAAAATAATTAGGAGTCACATGTATCATCTTCCCATATAAGAATGTAAACAGTTTAACCATATTAAATCCCTTATAATTACTCCATCATGTTTGCCTTTTTATGTTTCTCTTGAGTCCTGTGTTTGAATGTCAGATTTTCTACTTAGCTCTGCTCTTTTCATCTGGAATGCTTGAAAGTCCTCTATTTCATTAAATATCCATTTTCCCCTCTGAAGCTGGGTAGGTTATTCTTGCTTGTAATCCTAGTTCTGCTGCCTTCCAGAATATCATCTTCCAAATTCCCTTCTCCGTTATCATGGTAGCTGCTAAATCTTGTAGCTCCATGATATTTGAATAGTCTCTTTCTGGCTGTTTTCAGTATTTTCTACTTCTCCTAGAATTTAACTATAACATTCCTGGGAACTTTCATTTTGGGATCTCTCTCAGGAAGTGATCAGTGGATTCTTTTTGTTTCTATTTTGACTTCCGGTTCTAAGATATCTAGGAAGTTTTCCTTTATAATTTCTTGAAATATGACATCTAAGGCTCTTATTTTTGGTCATGGTATTTACATAGTCCAATAATTCTTAACTTATTTCTCCTTGGTCTATTTTCAACTGTTTTTCTGATATTTTTCACATTGCCTTTCATTTTTTCATTCTCTTGACTCTGTTTTATTGTTTCTTAATGTATTACCTTCCATTTGTCCAATTCTGATTTTTTTCTCTTTTTTTCCAATTCTGATTTTTAAGGAATTATTTTCTTCAGTAATGTTTTGTATCTCTTTTACCATTTTGCCAATTCTTTTTAGGTATCATTTTCTTAAGTATTTTTGTGCCCTTTTACCAAACTAATTTTCTTCTCATAGTTTTCTTGCATCGCTCTCATTTCTTTCCCCAATTTTTTCCTCTACTGCTCTTACTTGAATTTGAATTTTTTTTTTTGCTTTTTCAAAGTTTCTTTCTTTAACTCTTCTAGTTGAGCTTTTGTCTAATCTGCATTTTTCTTTGAGGGTTTGCTTGTAGATGATTTCACTTTGTTGTCTTATTTTGAGTTTGTGTCTTGCGCTTCCTTATCACCATAGTAGATTTTTATGGTCAGGTTTTTTTCATTGTTTGCCCATGTTTCCAGTCTATTTCTTGACTTTGGATTTTAAGTTAGAGTTGGGCTCTCTTTTGTGCTTCAGGCCTTTCTTCCCTACTGTTTTCAGAGCTAATTCTGAGGGTCTGTAAGTTTTTTGTGCTTTCAAGGTGGTGTGATGAGGTTGTATGGTTATGGTTACTGCTTTCTTGGACTGCATGCTGGTCCTTACTCAGAAAGGTTGCCTGCTCCTTTGTGATCATAAGTACTACCCTCTCCACCCTAGGCCTGAAACCAGGAACTAGAGCCCCTATTCTCTCCATTCTCTAAAACTGAGACCAGGGCCCCTGCTCATTTGTGACCACAAGCACTCCTCTCAGCCCTGCAAGTGCAATCCAGAACTGGGTAATGGGCAATGGAAGTTAAAGAGAGATTAATTATTCAGATGTTTGTATTTCTTTTCATCTTGTTTTAAACTGTATATTACATGTACATACAGCAATTAGACACTAGTTATTTTTGTCCTGTTAGCTTAATCATATACATACATACATACATACATACATACATATATGGAAATATGGAAATGAGGATACATTGCCAAGTAAAAGAATATGCTAATTCTCTCTCATTC